TCGTGAAGACGAGTTTTTGCTCATTTTCCAAGCTTAGCAGTCTTTCTGTAGCTTTTTAGCAGTAATACATGGATGTATAATTACAGTTGTAACACATGTGCATGCTGATGAATTGAAGACAGTCATAGGAAGACCAGTGGGTATCTGCTAGTTTCCTCACCTATTCTCAAATGGACACCAACAGCAGTGGGTTGAACAAAGGCCGCGTGGTATTTCCAGGGCTTTGGAGTTTCTTCTTTGGCAGATGCTGGGTTTTTCGGGCTGCATCCAAGGGCAAGAGCATGATGGGAGTGTTGTTCTGGTGCCCAGCCTCTTTAACTGGACAGCCAAGCACAGTGATTTCAAGATGATCATGGGGATGCAAGCTGTAGTCTGGAGTATGGTCTTTAATGTGTCTCCTCCCTTTGTGATACTGAGCTATGGTACAGAAGACCAAGAAGCAGCCATCTGCAAAGTGCCAGTTGAGGTTTCCTTTGGTATTGGGGATTTGGCAGCTTCTCCCAGTCCATTCCTTTTCCAATGGATCTGTTAGCAGCTGGATCATACTGGCAGAGGGCTGTCCCCAGATGATGTGTGGCTTCGGTGAGACTCATCACATAGAACAAATCAGAGGAATGCTCAGTCTTCACAAGCCATGCTGCTGGCATGGAGGCACCAGATGAAGGATCTGGTTGCTTAATGTCAGCTCCTCCTCTCTGAGTTATTCATTATTTTTATTCTCTTTCTGTCCAAGTGTTCTGCCTGGATAATACTGAAGAAGAGGGGCTATCCTTACAAGCTGAGCTGCCCTAAGCACTCTTGGAGCCAGTCGAGCTCCTGCTTGGCTCTTGTGCCTTGAACAGCCTACCACAGAGACAAGTAGCAGAGCTGCTCTGATCACAGGCAGTTGGCAAAAGTTTTATCAGGGAAAGAAAAGCAGCAGCTCGCTGGCTCACAATAAAGTTACTCCTGGGGCTGCAGGTGAGGAATAATGATGGGTCTGGTTCTGACTTTTGCGTTTAAAAAAACAATATTGAGGGCTTGGTTATAGGACCATAATTTTGATTCATTAATATAAACTATTTTAAGTCTGCTGAAAGTTATAGAATATTAGGAATATCTAGGATCTTACAGGAGAGTAACTTGCAATTATCCTGCACAACAGAGGCAGGATGAGAAGAGGCGATAGTGAAGAAGAGAGAAAGCAGATGGGTAACAAAACATCTGTAAGGGTAGGCTCTTGAAACAATGTAATATTTTGTTTTTTGAAAGAGCAGGAAAGAGATTTTTATAGAGACAAGGAAAACTGTAAGCAGCAGTGATCAGAGTTCGTCATGATGGGAATGGCATATGTGCTAGGTCATGAAATCCCCTACATACAGGGGCTGGGGAAGTGGCTTCCATAATGTACTCTAGTTAGCTGATTTGCCTGCATCTGCCTTATCTGCTTCATGATGATGTGATGAACAGCTGGTGGTGGAATTTATTAACTTCATGTTTGAAACCAAAGTTCCTAATCTGAGGCCGTCTTCAACTTTATCTTTTTTTAATTCAGATTTAAGATTGTTCTGTTTATCGTCTATAATCTAGACAGCTGAGCAATGACTGTAAGTGAAGGTTTATATTCAGTCTCTCTTATGATTTGTTGTTTGTTGCTGGTTTCTTCCTCCCCCCCCCAAAAAAAAAATTAGCTAAAAAATTCTGGTCTAGGTTTGGTAGGGTTTTTTGTTTTTGTGACCTCCCCCTCCTGCCTGTAAGAGGATGACACTGGATTTATAAATGTTTATAACCTTTCTTATATTACAGAGAATTGATAGTGTGACTGCTTTAGATTGGACAATAGTGCTTCAAAAATAACAGTGTTTATAAAATTTCCTGGTTTGTTCCAAGTTTTGCAGAAATGTCTTTATATTTTGGAAACCTGTGCAATGTCATCATCTCCTCCAGCACCTCTGTTAATTGCTGTTGTCCAAGTTTGCCTGCAGAGTGGGAGGCAGTTTCATATGGTCAAGGTCAGCCCCTGGTGGGTAATTATAAGGAAAGGTGGCGTACAAAAGGTAGCCCTTGGGTGAGCTAATCTCATCTTTTGTTCAATCAATGTATTGCCATATGTTGAACTAGATACAGCTGCTTTATCGTCTTCTGTAACGTTTCACCATTTGATACAAGAGTTTCAGCAATGCTGGGAAACGCTTTTACAATTAAGCCTGCTCAAGAGTAAGCCTACTCTATGTTCCCAGGAGAAACTGCTGGAGAACAAGACTTGAGTTTGTCTGGCCTGTGCATGAGGTGAGAGATTGGTGTGACTGCTGTTTCACACAATCAAAAAGTGGACAGTTAGACAAGTGGAGAGACTCTACCTTGCTGATAATAGCTTAAGTGTTACTAAATGTTCAGAGTTTGCACAAATGTGAGAGCACTGTCTTTGTGTTTGAAATTATTGACTGTTGAAGGCTGCTTGACAACAGATTCAGTGTTTTTAGGAGTGTTTTGCTAATGTTGAGTACAGTTTGTAAGCCCTTTGTGTTGTTTGTGCATTATCATATGGAGTGCTGGACATTTTAATTATCCGGCCCTGTAAGTTGCTGATTTTGATCTATTTTTAAATATTCTTCCTTTCTCATTGGAACCAGAGGCCAAAACTGCAGAGGTATCAAGTCTGTCTTTCCAATTTAGGCACAGAACAGTTGTGATGTTCACAGCATTGCAAATGGTAGATTGCAAAGCAGGCTGTCTGGATTATTTTAGAGAGAAAACTGGGGTAAGAGCTCCAAACTGGGTAGCCTGAAGTGCTCGTGTGAGTCTGTAAGTTCACCTCCATGGCCTTTCTTAAACAGCTTTCTTCCTCTTAACAGTCATCGGTTTTGTGCCAGACCGGTGTTGTAGGTTGGCCAATGTCATTCACAGCCCTACTCTATTTATAGGGTATTTCAGCAGCCCCTCCTGTAGCTCCTGTTTCCTGATTCAAAGGAGCTTTCACGCTCTGTTGTCTCCTCTCATTTTCTACTGGCAGAAAAAGGGAGAAGTTGAGCTTCTCCTTGAAAGGCAACAGAACGTTTCTGCTTCTCTTTCCAGGCCATGGCTCTTGTCCCTCAGATTTAGAAGAGGAGTCTGGGGAGGGCTGTGGGTGAGGCACCCACTGCCAGCGGTCACTTCTGCTTGGCTGCTTCTCTTGCCCGGACTTCAGAGACAGGGGGAGATAGTTAGTGAAGACTAGTAGGAGATGAGGAAAAAATGGGCCTAGAAGGCACAGCCCAGTAGGAAATTGAGTTAGAAGTGAGGATTAGGGTAAAAACAAACTGTGCAGACACAGCACCTCGCCTTGGTTGAGCCCTTTCAGCAATCGCCTGTCTGGAAGTGTTGGCAATTCTGCTGCGCAGAGGTGGCCTGATCCAGCTCGCGTATCAAAGTCAAGGCTTATAATTTGGGAGTTGAAAAGGCTTTTTGATATACACCAGATGTAACTTCAAGAAACTCAACACAGAAGTCCCTAGCATGAGAAATACTGTGTTAGAATAAGACTCTCCATGTTAATTTTAAATTATCTTTGTTAGCCCTTCCTCTGTGTTTTCCCTCCTTTGCTTTTCCCTTTACCTTTCTCCTTCTCAAAAACCCAGACATAGTTTTGATGTTATCTTTTTCTGTCATGCTGTTTGTGTGGTACAGTGTTTGTTTTTCAAAGCCAAAGGAGGATTTAATAACATTCAGCTGATCACAGAACAGCTTTGCTTTAAAAGCTCATTAGCTGGGGCTTGTCTCCTGGTTGTTGCTTTCAGTGACATGCCTGTCACAGTGACAGAAAATCATATATATCTGTGTGTGTATTTATTGTGTGTCTCTAAGTCTCCTGGTGGGAGGCAGTGCTGATAAAGGGCTTGAAATAAAGCTTTGCCTGCACCAGTGAATGCTCATTTTCTAGTTTTATAAATGGAACCAAGTGATCCTCAACTGAGCAGGCTGTCAGTGCCTGCACCTTGGACATTGAAAGTTTGACATAATTGTCAGTATTGGCTAAAACGAGCAGGAAAGCACAGGTTCCAGACACACTATGAGCTTCTAATAGTTTTGTGAAAGTTGGTATCTGTAAAGAGGATGGAATGCTCCTATGGAGGAGAAGTTGATTTATCTTATAAGATGCTACACGAGAACAGGCTGGCTGGCAGGTGAGTGTGTCTTGGTCGCTGCCTTGTGCCTGCTGAATATCCCCATTGGGCAAGCTAAGAACG